CAATTTTAGATATGGTTTGTTTGAGCCCCTCAAAGGTGAGCATTTTGAACGTTTCTACAAAGTTTATGTTGGGGTGGGTGTCCCTTGAACAACCCATTTAATGGGGGGGTTACAGTTTGAGGATGTTGCTGAACATGAACCCAGTTTATGCATGCGAGTTTTGCCAATTTGAAAATGCGCAGATTGTTGACATGCACATGTGCAACATGCTAATGAAGGGTTGATCAAAATGAGGGCCCTTCCACATGGCATCGGTTTTGCTCGGGTTTGCCAAAATCAATGACAGATCATTATTCTTCCACAGCACTGGCACGCTCAAGCTTGCCTGAGATAAAAGCGAGCTCACAAGAAGGTCCTACACTCAGGGGAGCCCTCATTTCAAGTTTTGGAGTGATAGCACAAGCATACGGCATGCTCTGTACAATTCTCCTGCAAGCCCTGAACTGCGAAGTCCACTCATGATGCTTGGCTGAGGCGCTGCTACGCTGAAATCAGCGGAGTCATGCAGTCATGGTAGACCCTTGGGCGATTATGTTGCTCAACATCCCTACACTGCTGGCATTCCATCATGTGCTGGGCTGCATGCTAGAGGTCTACAACGAGTCGGTGTTCGACATCCTGGCTTCGCGGCAGAAGTTGGACATGGGAAAGGAGCGCATAGCATCTTCTCAATGATGAAAACGTTGCTGCGCCAGTGAGCAACGGACAATAGTGCCAAGGTATGTGCTTTCGGTGGGCGCTATCAGTCGTTCTTGTATTTGTGTGCGGATACTTGTGTGGTTTGTGTGGATGGGTGTTTGTGGTTGCGTGTGCTTGTTGTTTGTGCGTGTTTGTGTGTGTGTAGCAGTCCAAGAGATTGGGCTGCAGCATTTCATGATGGCCTGAATCAGATCGAAATGAGGCATCCCAAGAAGAGTCATCAGCTAGGAGTTACGTGACCCATTTGACCACGGGAAAGACCACAGGGATTGACTTTGGCTCGAGTTTCAGTTGGTCACGTGTTGAGGCATCCCCTGCTTCCCCCCCTCCCTTTCAGGGTAATTAAGCAGAATGTTGACCATCCGAACCGATGTCAGTTGAGCAAACATGACCAACCCCAAAGGGTAGAAAGTTGGTTGGTTCCCTTTCGTTTTCCTCCTTCTAGCGGGCGTGTAGCTATCCTGAGCATGTGTCCAGTAGTTCACATTATTGGCTTCCCATGCCCTTTCTGAGACCACGCGTGGCTACCCAAATGCCACACAGGAGACCAACCGAGCAGCTGGCACGGATGGCCGACAGGTGGGGTTTGGGGTTAGGGAGCCAGGCACAGGGTTAGACGTGATGAGTAGACAGGTTGCCTCTCAAGCAAGCTTTGGTGGATCGTTGTCCTGGCCAGTGAAAGGCGGTATGACCTCAACTGGTGTTTTGGGGAGACAGGCACCCGCTTGAAAGCTTTCCTTGAAATTTGTTTCCTGACGATGTCCATGCGCCCTCCACGTTCAAACGTTCAAGCGGCTGCTTCCCCGATATGCCGCGAAACGCCAATGAGAGGCCATCGAGCACTTCACCAGTCGCCCGGTCAGCGATGCAGCTCAGGTGCACCGGTTGCTGGCGAAGGCTCCGATCGGAGCGCGCTGTGTCGGCACATACCATGGTCAACCGGCAGCTTGCTTGGGTTGGCACGGCCATCAAGTCACACGGAGCCCTTAGAGGGAACTTTAAGCAAGCATTGTAAGGGTTCCTCAGGAAAATAGGACCATGCCGCACATGTTGTGACAATGGCACATATGTCCACCCTCAAGATGTAGACCCCCATCATGTGATGTACATATACATATATGGATACATCATACACATATACGTATATACGTACGTATATATATATATATATATACACGTATTATGTGTACACATTGAGTGTATAATAGGTATGGGGCTGTAAAGGGGCACCTCTTCCGGTGCACGTGTTGGGAAATGGCGCCAGGCCGCCCGGGAGAGGCACGTGTCCAGCACCGCGCTAAACGACCGCTCCAGCCGGTCCCATAGCGTTTTCCAGTGCCCCGGCACGACTTGAGGCTCAGTTTCGACTGGTCACAAGGGAGCCTAAGATGGGAATGTCATGGGATCGTGGGTGAAGGGCACCCTTTTCACCAGGCGACAGTTGTTTTCGCATGTTTGTTCCTGTTGATTGGGTTCCTCTCAAAGAAATTGTCAATCTCCAAAAGAGCTCCATTTTTGAGCAGGATCACTGAGCAACAGGGGAGGATTCTCCCCCAAGCACTACCGGAACCTATCGGAAAGTGTGATATATGCCTTTTACATAACTTCCCTTGGACAGTGGTTTGGGGTGATATCATCGAAGAGCAGCGCATGCGGATGCAAGGCTTCAAGCGCAGGCGATCTGGCTAGAACCTCCCCAAAAGCGGGTTCCCTTTTGTACCAGTTTTGTGCCTGGGTCACCGGGCAGCAGGGTAAATGAGTAGGGGCTCAGGGGCTGGCTGGCTGTGTTGCCACAGATCAA